GTTTATGGTTGAATGTGGGAAGTGTAGAGGGTAGAACCTGAGGCGGGACCTCGTGCGCAAACTCTGATGTGCGGCTGTGATTTATAAATGAAAGATGTGCAGAAATGTGCGTACGCACGGTTTTATAAATCTGAATTTTTTTGGCGTACGCCATTTCCGCCTTTTGGCCGTACGTTCACTTTTAGTATGGTTTCCACGCAATCCTTTATAAATGAGACCACAGGTGAGTTAAAAAAAACACTGTATCAGAGTTCTGCATATAAAAACAGTGTGCATTGTTAATTAAGGCTTTGTTTGTGACAACTAGTAACAAATTCAGCTCTGTCAGCAGGTAGATCCATAAATATATCAGCTAATTATTCTCTCATGATGTCCAAGTTCTGTTTGTAATGATAAGCTTGTTGAACAGTTCGAACAGGAATATTTTTATTAACAGTCTGATTGAAACCTTTAGATGTGAATCAGATTTATACATTTGACTTTTAAGAAGGTGGAAGTTTTAGTTTTGTTTCATTTGATAATCTGTTAGTTTAAAATCTTACAGCAGCAGGTAGAACTACGATGATACATAAATACTGTTTCAGTCACATTGTAATATTTTCACTCTCATCAGGTAAAGAAATAGACTGACAGTAACTGAATTCAGTCTCTGTTACCATGGTGAGCTAACCAGGCCTAAATAAATCCTTCTTTGTGACTCTGAAAACTTTAAGTTTAGCAGTTGTCTGATCTGTTCTCTTCAGTTTGTATCCAGCTCTCTGATCCACTGACTGAGCATCAGAACCTCATGAACATTAAAGTCTCTGAGTGGAAGAAGAGCTCATCAGTTTTTTTTTTAACATGGTTACTCTCTTCCTTGTAGGCTGCTGCACTTTAACTTGTGAAACACAACATGCAAACACATCCTCTGGTATGTCGTGTCCATTTGCATATTATATAAATAATGATGGTGGGCCGCCAGGACCAAAAAATGCCTGGACCGTTTTTTGGTCCCAGTCCAGCCCTGATTGGTATGACTGTTTCACTGATGTGAAAAGGAAATCTGTCAATCTGTTTGTGGCTTTCTGAAACACTCAGATGTATGACACACACAAAAAAACGAATTTTGGAATTGAAATTGAACTATAGAATATAGGAATCTAACTGAAATTTTAATACAACAAAACAGTTTCAAGACAAATCAATACAAATTTAAAACTTTTAATTCAGTTTCAATTTAGTGAAATTAATTTTCAAACCAATGCATTTAATTTCACATTATGCAAATACAGATTCGGTTTCTGTTGGCACAAGTTTCTTCCCGTACTTCAGCTCCTTCAGGATATTCAAGCTCTAAATTTGGTGTTTCAGCAATTTATACTTTATGAGATATTTAGCTTTTTCTGCCATTTATTTTCTCATTAAAATGAACAGAGCTGTCATCAACACCCTTATAACTCTTTAAAATGTTTATAAATCTATGCTGTACTTTTCACATCTTGTTTGGTCCATTGTTTTACTTCCTTATGCTAATTTCAGCTTCTTTTAGCTTTTAGTTTTTTTCTGCTTTCTTTTAATGTTCTCCTGCTAATTTCTACTTTTTTGTGCATTTTTCAGCAGCTTTCTGATAAGTTCAGCCGATTTCCATCTCTTCAGCTGTTGTTTAGCTGTTTTTAGCTAATTATAGCTTCCTTTTAGCTAAATTCATCTTTTTGTGATAATTTCAGCTTCTTGTAGCCTAATTCAGCAAACATGCTCTTTCTGACTTTTTGTGCTAACTGCAGTTTTTTCTGCTATGTTTTAGCTATTTTTCTACTAATTTCAGCTGCTTTAGCTGTTTTACAATTATCAACTCTCTCTGGTCAACACATTTTTGCCATTTATTTCTACTGATTTTTCACTTTTCTTTCCTACTTTCAGCAAACATCAGCTGTCCAAACTGAACTCACATTAACAGTTTTGCTCCTAAATATTTTCAGCTTCTTCAGCAGCTTTAGGTGAAAATCTTTCAGCATTAATTATTCACATTGTATTTTCTCAGGAAATGTAATTTCTCTAGTGTTTTTATTATTATTCATTTTTTTGTTTCAAAATTTTTTTGTTCATCTGTATGGCCCAATTATAGTCCCATACACAGGGYTCCTGAAGAGCCTTAAAAAGTCTTAAAAGGCCTTGAATTCATCAATCCAAAAATAAGGCCTTAATTAGCCTTACAAAGTCTTAAATCAATCTTTCAGAAGTCTTAAAAATGTCAACACATTGTACAGTAAGTAGGATGACTGAAATACTCGCACTCAGACACTCCCCTTTGACATCACTTGCTGTTACTTCACATGCAAATATCTCAACAACTGTTCATCTGAGCAACGTGACATTCATTTTGTAATTTAATAATGTTGTCTTTCCAAAAATGCATTCATATTTCTTACAAAGATTTAGCAAGCTGGGGTTGAGAACCAACAAATTTGGGGTCATTAGARGATTTACAAGGATTAAATTAGTTTTAAAACTGATGGAAAGGATGTTTWTGCTATATTTGTAGTGTTTCCCGTGGAAAATTGGTCTTGGCGGGGGGAGGGGGGACTTGTTTTATAAAAACATAATTTTACGCAACTCACCTGCAATTATGGTAATAAATTTACACATACATGAATATTTAATTGCCTAACTACATCYTAGTTAAGGACTCCTCATGATAATTATCAATAAAATTMTTAHTGATAATAAGTGATCAGAACTGTGTGCAGCAGATGATCTGAGTCCAGAGTTCTCAGTTTGAAACCTTCTGGAGCTCTTCTGTGTGACTCTAGGTGTGACAG